TGCAAATGGCCGAACCAGGTTTGATCCCTGGCATTCTATATGTTCCCCAAGGCACTGCTAGGCATAACTCCTGAGTGCAGAGCCAGGGGTAACACTTGAGCATCGCCAGGTGTGCCCCACAAACAAGAAAAAAAAAACCCTCACAGAAATCTTTGTTTTGTTTTTCTGGGGTTGGGATGTCTCATCTGGCAGTGCTCAGGGCTTACTCCTGACTCAGAGATCACTCCTGACAGGTTTGGGAGACCGTACGGGGCACAAGGGGTTGAATCTGGGTCAACCGCATGCAAGCCTAGCTCCCTACCCACTATCTTCTCTTTCCAGACTAAAAACAAAAATTTTATTTGTTCTGTTTTGTGGTGCGAGGTTGGCTCAAAAATAAAACCATGGCTGGTTGTGTGCAAATTGAACACCTTACCATCCATGATATTTCTCTAGACCCAAAACACAATTTTTAAGATAACATCCTTTCCAGTGCTGGTTGGGATTGATTTTTTTCTTTCCATCAATAAAAGGTAAAAGGTAAAGGCCCTCCCATTGTTCATCGATTTGCTCGAGGGGGCCCAGTAACGTCTCCATTGGAGATTTTGTTGTTACTGTGTTTGGCATATCGAATACATCACGGGTGGCTTGCCAGGCTCTGCCGTGTGGGCGAGATACTCTCAGTAGCTTGCCGGGCTCTCCGAGAGGGGTGGAGGAATCAAACTTGAGTTGGCCATGTTGGCTGCGTGCAAGGCAAACGCCCTACTGCTGTGCTATCCATCAATATTATAATGAAAAGACGTTGAATGGAGCATCATTTGGAGGTATGCTGCACTCAGGTGATACTGTAGGTGGAAGATGTGGCTCCTTAAAAAGAAGTAGAATTGGGGCTGGAGCATAGCACAGCGGGTAGGGCATGTGCCTTGCACAAGGCCGACCCACGTTTGATTCCCAGCATCCCATATGGTCCCCTGAGCACTGCCACGAATAATTCCTGAGTGCAGAGCCGGGAGTAACCCCTGTGCATTGCCAGGTGTGACCCAAAAAGAAAAGAAGTAGGATATGGGTTGGAGTGATGATACAGCCATTAGGGCACTTGCCCTTGTACACAGTCAACCCAGGTTCAATCCCTGGCATTTCACATGGTCTCGTGAACACCATCAGGACTAACTCCTTAGTGCAGAGCCAGGAGTAACCCCTGAGCATGGTTGGGTGTGGCTCCCAAACAAATAAAACGAAGAGGGTCTCTTGAGTGGCTCACCAAATAATGCAAGTCACTTGACTCCGGGCCATCTTGCCCTCTTGGTGACTTAGGTGAAATGGGGCCAGAGGCGAGTGGTAATAGCAGAGAGAGTCAGAGAGAGTGAGAGAGAGAGAGAGAGAGAGAGAGAGAGAGAGAGAGAGAGAGAGAGAGAGAGAGAGAAACTACCACCTTCTTGCTTGACCCATCCATGAGGAAGTCCCTGGGGGATTTGACTGGTAAAGTCCACCCTGAGCACCTGCAAAGCATGGATGCTAGGCTAGTATCCCACCAGTATCACTGTTAAGCTCAGGCCCACCTGATCTTCACATCATGGGGAAGAGCTTCATCTCCTGAGAGCTATGGCCTAAGACTAGAGTAGGAAAAGAAAATAAAGCTTGGGACTGGAGAGACAGTACAGTGGGGTAGGGCAAATGCCTTGCCCATGGGTGACCTGGGTTCAATCTCTGCCACCCCATAGGGCTCCTGAACCCCACCAGGAGTGATCCCTGAGTGCAGAATCGAGAGCAAGCCCTGAGCACTGCTGGGTGTGGCCCCCAAACAAACATGAAAAGCAAAGAAAAACACAAAAATGAAAGTGAGAAACTACTTGTTTGGGGTCTCAACTCCTGTCTTCATGGAATGTGGCACTGGAATGTGTCTTTTACTCCTGCCTCTGATCTCCTGGGACCCTGTAGGTCAGTCACGGAAGGCACTCACAATTATACAAATTGAACATTGGCACCAAGAGGTTCCTTTCATTGTAGTCATCATTATAGTTATTATAACAATATTCCAACAGATGGCAGTGAAGTATCTTAGAAAGTGGGAACATTCTAGCCACCAGAATAGGAGCTTTCAGAAGGACTGAGTTTTCTTTGTTTGGGGTTTGGACCACAATGCGCAGTCCTCAGGGGCTACTCCTGGCTCCGTACTCAGGGGTCCTGGAGGCACTTGGTGGACAATGTGGTACTTGGAATCAACCGCATACCTCCCAAATGCAAGACAAGATTGGAGCTATCTCTCCAATCCTGTATAGTAAAGTAAAGGCCCTCCCGTTGATCATCAATTTGCTCGAGCGGGCCCAGTAACGTCTCCATTGGAGACTTTGTTGTTACTGTGTCTGGCATATCGAATACGTCACGGGGAGCTTGCCAGGCTCTGCCGTGCGGGCGAGATACTCTCAGTAGCTTGCCGGGCTCTCCGAGAGGGGCGGAGGAATCGAACTCGGGTCGGCCATGTTGGCAGCGTGCAAGGCAAACGCCCTACCGCTGTGCTATCGCTCCAGCCCATCCAATCCTGTATGTCCTTTGAAAAACAATGTACAGGGATGGAGATGTGGCTTACCAGTAAAATGCATGCCTTGCATGACTGCAACATGGGTTCAATCCTGGGAGATGCAAAATAATGACAATAAAATAAATGGACACATTTATTTGATAGAAACAATAGAAGTATAACTGGATATTCAATAAATAGAAAATTCACATTAACTGCTCTTTCTCGCATACAGGACTTCTGTCCATCTGCCTTTCTTCCTCACCTATCTGCTTGTGTGAGTTCTATGCAGAATACAACCCACAGATAGTATCCTTTCCATTTCCTTTTGTGACACCCAAGGCAGCTCAATGGGCATTTTCCCTTGCACAAGCACTGGGTTCAGCAGGGCCATGAACTCTGGAATTACGTCTTGGGTCAGATAGATAGGTCAGTAGGTAGGGCACTTGCTTTTCAATGCCCAGATTTGATTCCCACCACTCCATTGGTCCCAAGAACCCCAACAGGAGTGACCTCTGAGCACTGCTAGGTGTGCATCTCCCCCCCCCCCCCAAAAAAAATAGAATCATCTGGTTAATGCTTTTTTTTTCTCCTCTTTGGGTAACACCCAGCAATGCACAGCGGTTACTCCTGGCTCATGCACTCAGGAATTACTCCTGGCAGTTCACAGAGGACCATATGGGATGCTGGGAATCAAACCCGGGTGGGCCGCGTGCAAGGCAAATGCTCTACCTGCTGTGCTATTGCTCCAGCCCCTGCTTTGGTGTTTCCATGTTACGATTCTTTATTTTAGGTCAGACCTGGGAATGGTCATGGGCTACTCCTGGTTCAGTGTTCAGGTATCGTTTCTAGTTTCAGGCACTCAGAACACCAGCAGTGCTAAGATGGAAACTCAGTCTCATGTATGGAAAGCATGTGTTCAGATCCACGGAGCTCTTCCCAGCTTTTATCTTTTTGGGCGACACCTAGTGGAGTTTAGGAGCTATTCCTGGCTTTGCTCAGGGAGGGGCCTATGTGGCGGGAATTCAAAAGTTGATCAATCACAGCAAGGTCTTACCTCTGTATTATATCACTGGTCTAATTTTTTATTTTGGGTAACACCCAGCAGTGCTCAGGAAGTGCTTGTTGGAACCAGATCACTCCTGCAAGGCTTTGGGATCATATGGGGTGCTGGAGGTCAAACCTGGGTTAGCTGCATGCAAGGAAAGTAACCTACCATTGTACTATGGCTCCAGCCTCTATCAAAATATTTTAATCAAAGATTTTTCTTAGTGGTAGGGCACTTACCTTGTAGCAGTCAACCTGGGTTCAATCCCTGGCAACCCATATGGTCCTCCAAATACCTCCAGGAGTGATTCCTGAGTACAGTCAGAAGTAAGCCCTGAGCATCTCTGCAAGGGCTGGAGCGATAGCACAGTGGGTAGGGCGTTCGCCTTACAAGCGGCCAGCATGGCCGACCCGAGTTCGATTCCTCCGCCTCTCTCGGAGAGCCCGGCAAGCTACCGAGAGTATTCGATATGCCAGACACAGTAACAACAAAGTCTCCAATGGAGATGTTACTGGGCCTGCTCGAACAAATCGACGATCAACGGGAGGGCAAGTGGCTCTAAAACAAAAAAACCAAAACCCCCAAAATTAGTTTCTCAGTTTTGGGGCTACATTCCTGGATGTGCTCAAGGGGTCACGTCTAACAGTGTTCAAGGGACCAAAGTGCCAAATTAAACCCAGATTGGCTACGTGCAAGGTAAAGTACCATAACCCTATGCTACATCAGTCCTCTATAATTTCAAAAATACTATTACAGATTTATTTGGTACACCTTATGGTGATCACTCCTGGCAGGACTGGGATGTGCCAGGGATCAAGACCAGTATCATCCTTGTGCAAAAGACAGGCAACTCATCTGTTGTACTAATATCTCTAGCCCCCTAAAAACAAATTTAAGATTATAATCATGTTATCTCAACTACAATTTAAAAATAGCAGTACAACAGGTGACCCAACTAGGTTCATTCCCGGCATTCCGTATGGTCTCCTAAGCCTGGCCATGAGGGGCTGGAGTGATAGCACAACGGGTAGGGTGTTTGCCTTGCACGCGGCCAACCTGAGTTTGATTCCCAGTATCCCATATGGTCCCCCGAGCAACGGCAGCAGTAAAACCTGAGTGCGTGAACCAGGAGTAACCCCTGTGCACCGTTGGGTGTGACCAAAAAAAAAAAAATACCCGGCCATGAGTAATCACAGAGTGTAGTGTGTAGTGCCAAGAGTAAACCCCGAGCACCACTGAGCACGCCCCCCCACACCAAAAAGAAGATATTTTTGGGTCAGAGATATAACTCAGTACTTGTCTTACACATGTAAGGCCCTAGGTTTAATCCCCAGCATGGGGGGTTAGAAGGTGGAAATGTCTATTCTTCAAGGTAAAATATACATTCAAGAGAACGTATTTTTATTCGACTAGAGGTTTTAGTACAAATATTTTTATGAAATAACTCTCAACCAGTACACGTTCTTCAGTATAATTTATTATTACATTTCAGTTTGCATTTATTAAGTACCTTAGAATATCACACTCAAACAGAGCTCCAGAGAGGCCATAACTAAGAGGAGAACAGTCTCACTTTGTACGGCAGATTCCCAGTTAGCTTCAGGCCTCCCTACTACACACATTTGTTCTTTTGAGGCTCTATGGAACTGTCTTCGAATATGGCTGAAGCTTGAATCATGCCAAATCTGTGAATCCATAAGTATGGGAAATCATCTGCAGGTAGGACGGTCTGCTGAAGGATTCTTTGACATTTCGAGATGGTATAAATCTGGTAACACTGCCTATTCTCTTGCGAGAAAATATGCCCTATCTTAAGTGGCAGCTGCAATTTTCTAACCGAAAAAAAAATCAGCAAAGATAAAAAATAAAATGTCAAACACAGGATAAATACTCTGAGAATAGAGTTAAGTACAATATAAACACACTGGAGTAAATAGTGAGACTTCTCTTGAGTCTAAGCCTTTACTTTTATTGTTAAAAGTCTGATAAAAATGTACTCAATTACATTTTATACAGTAACATTTAGTGAACTTTCTCCAAAAAGCTATGTTTTAAGTTTATTTGGAAAAATAACTAAAGCTTTATCATTTAGTCTCTAGTTAATAAGAAAAGAAAACCTGCTTGAAATAATAAATAATTTCACACAAAAGGTCTGATGACATAAGAATAGTATATTAATCAATATATTCTTTGTATTTACAATAAATCCATTTGTTAATACTGTGATAGAAAAAATAATGAATCAGTCCACATTATGCAGTAGAAACAGGCTTTGAGAATGATCATATCTCTCATAATAAAAACATATAGGGATGTCTCCCACAGCTGAAGTACTTTTTAACACGACAGTCTTGGATGAAGGTAAAACTGACAAGAGTATTTTACTTTAGATCAGCTATGTCCTAGAACCAAGAAATCAAAAGTATTACCATTAAGCAGGCAGCAAAAAAAAAAAAGTTTTGATTTTCCAGGACAATTTAAATGAGTCGTTAACAGGTGATGCTAATTTTAATTTTACTTTGAGTTATAAAGAGTAAAATACTAAATTAGGAAACTGCACTAATCAAAAAAATAGCCCCAAACGAAAGAGTCATCAATAGATATGAAAAAAGGCATTCTTGTAAGTGTATCATGCATAAGGGTAATCACATAATACATACTCTAAAGACCAGACTAATAAACAAATGAGGTAAATTTTACAGTCATTGGAACAAATAAATTATATTTAACCACTTAAACTGTTGCTCTACTACTGCTTCTGGTCCAAAATATTAAAGTAATGTAATCTAACATTGAAAAACAGCACACTTTGACTATTTGCTTTTCTGACCCTATCTGAGAGTAAAGGGGAACTATGTAACAAAATATTATCTGAGTATAAATTATCAACACCAATATGATACAACTGTCATATAATTGCACAGTGAAAATATTGTGAAGGATAGAAAAACACGTCAAAAATAAACTGATCACAATTTAAATTTCAGACTGATTCATGATAACCAAGATAACAGGGCGGGACGGAGGGGGAAGAGATTCATGAAACTGAATTTGATATCAATATCCAATAGTTCACTAAGATGCAACTTCTTCTAAACAAATTAATTACCTTAAGGGAACAGAGGAAATGTAAATCGCTTGAGTTTTAGTTTGCAAGTTTATGCCTTGAAACAGGCTAACACCAGCCAGAATTGTAGTACTAATTTAAAAAATCTAGGCTCTTTGCTTTCATTTGCATATGCATATTTAGTTATTAGTAAGAGACAGAAAAAAAAACCCAGTAAGTTATCGAGTCAAGGGTAAATATGTATAGCCAATACATGAAATACATTGTCAAATGGGACAATAATTTTCTGCTATGCTGCTTTCAATTATCGATATCCTTGAAACAGTCATTTAGAGGATATCTACTGACAGCCCTTTTCATAGTATATTTTTTCCTTTGGTGTCTCCCTTACTATTTAAATGCATTATTCTGTCGGATAATAAATTTTGTTTTACAAATTTCAATTACTGAAGAGATAATTTTACACATGAACCTGCCAGTTCTGAGATGATAATAACAATGACAACGATGATGAAGATGATGATGAGAAAACTAAAACCCAGATGATTTTTCACTCAAATTTCTGCTTAAGTTTCTTCTGGAAGATGGCTGGCAGAATAGAAAGAAGAGCCAAAATCATTAGGACAAATACTGAGTTCCAGGAAACAGCTTCCCCTGCTGTTGTAAGCTGGTACAGTGTTGTTCCTGCCTTGATTGCCACAAAAGAGGGAGGTGCAACACCTAAAATGAAAAATAAGACAGTCATTAAAAACCACTTATTATTGGGGCTGGAGCGATGGGTCTGTGTAATTACTGTTCGCTGAACTATAGCTCCCATCTCTTAAAAAAACTTTATGCACTGAATCTGGGCTTTGAGACTGGTACTGAATCTGGGGTCTCGCACATGTGAGGCAAGGTCTGGTCCAGTAATTCTTCATGTAAGATCTAGCTTAAAATGTCTTTTCATCCATATATAATGTCATGTGGGTAGTAGATGAGTCAAAATTATAGAGAAAATAGTTACTAAAGACATGCAAAAATAAAGAACTGAAAAGATACGTTAGCCAAAATTGAACTTAACTAAATCCCTAGGTATTTTACCCATAGAACAGGGAAATAATAACTTCTGTTTGTGGTGGGACGAGAGCAGTGCAGTCTCTGCCCCCGCGCCTCGGTGTTCCTTCCCGGAGTCCCTTGGAGGGGAGCGGGTTGAGCTTTCCTCCCCGCCCTGGCCAGGGCTACGGCAGCCGGAGACCTCCAGGACCAGCCACCACCATGCTGAGACCACTCTCCGCACACCTGAAGGTACTGGCAGAGGGACAAAGCCACGCGGGTTCCGGGGCCGAGACCTCCAAGCCTACTCGAATTGGAGTCGAGCATCTTCCACCCAGATCCTCCAAATTCCAGTAGGCGGGGGTCACACCCACCACCTGGCCCCCTGGCGCCGTGTAATCCCATCAGCGGCCAAGACTCAGAGACTATAAAATGCAGATCCCGGAACCGCGCGGCCGCATTCGCGGCCGCGCGACATCTTATTATCTCATTCCTACTTTGGACAAACTTGCAGGCTGTCGAATGTAGCCTGCCCACAGGGCAGAGTCTGGCAAACTCCCCGTGGCCTACCAAATATGCCAAATACCAGTAACAATGATGGGTCTCATTCTCCTAAAGAGCCCTGAATATAATCTCAGGGCTAGGATGAAAGAGACGTTACTGGGGCCTGCTCGAGGCAATCGACGATTAACAGGATGATGAAATGAAAAAAAAATGAAATGTGGTGGGGCCACACCTAGGTGTGCTCAGCAACTACCCCTGATATGTTCCTTGGGAGTCACTCCTCCGTGGTGCATGGGGGCCAGGGATTGAACGTGGCGAACATGGAAAACATGCAAACTAGTTCTTCAAGCTCTACAAGCTATTTCCCTGGCCCATGAATGTACATTTCATGAAATCCAAATGACTTAAGACTTTTAAGTTTGTCAATGAATGCAAAGCATGCACTCAAACTAGAGATAGTACAGAGGTTCAAGTGCTTGCTTTGCGTGCAGCTGACTTGAGTCTGGCAACACACATGGTCTCTGAGCACTGCCAAGGTGATTCCTGAGCACAATGCCAGGAGGAAGTCCAAAGCACCCCACTCCCCTATGTCCCCACCCAAAATGTTCAGAAGGAAGTGTTATTCTTAAAAAAATAAATAAATAAATATTTAAGACAAAACAATCCAACAAACATTTCAGAACATCTATTTATACAGACTCAGCGGTACGGCGTTCGCCTTACAAGCGGCCAACATGACCGACCCGAGTTCGATTCCTCCGCCCCTCTCGGAGAGCCCGGCAAGCTACCGAGAGTATCTGGCCCGCACGGCAGAGCCTGGCAAGCTCCCCGTGACGTATTCGATATGCCAAACACAGTAACAACAAAGTCTCCAATGGAGACGTTACTGGGCCTGCTCGAGGAAATCGACGATCAACCGGAGGGCCTTTACCTTTACCTTTACCTAGGCTTCATGCCCAAGATTTATACATGATACTGGCATGTCTATTATTAAAAAAGAAAAAAAAGAGAGAGAGATTCTAACACAGCTGGATACTATTTGACACAATAAATTCTAACAGTGTGAATCATATGTCTTACCTAGAAAAGTGCCAATAAAAAAAACTTTCAATGGCACATTTATCACAGGAGATGTAATATTAATAAACCAGTTAGGCAGAAATGGTGTTATTCTCAAAAATATGATGTAGTTAATGAGATGTTCTCTGTGGCGTTCAACCTAATATTAAAAAAAATTAGCATAAGGTTAATCTCAATAATAAGTTATTTAATATAAAATGCTTCATTTTAAATTCTCACCCTTATAGTTATTTATTCAATAGAAATAATCAAAAAAGGAGCTTGAAATTGACAATACACTACTTATGAAATACTCATTACCAGAGCTAAATGAGTCTTTCAAAGATTGTTATAGCATAATGTCATACTGCTAAAGATTATTCTCTATCAGCCTAAATCATAGCTCATTTAATGACAATTTAAACTAAAATAATAAGCACTAATCATTTCAAAGCTTACTGAGAAAACAAAATAGCTATTACAAAGACAAACTTACATGTAAAATGATTTCAGTATATAAAACATATATGATAAAGAGGGGCTGGAGCAATAGCACAGCGGGTAGGGCGATTGCCTTGCAAGCGGCCAACGCGGCCGACTCGAGTTCGATTCCTCCGCCCCTCTCAGAGATCCTGGCAAGCTACCGAGAGTATCTCGCCCGCACGGCAAAGCCTGTCAAGCTACCCGTGACGTATTCAATATGCCAAACACAGTAACAAGTGTCACAATGGAGACGTTACTGGGCCCACTCGAGCAAATCGATGAACAACAGGAGGATAGTGACGATAAAGAGAAGAGCACGAGTTTATTCAATCTAGAGACCTGAGATTCTAGGTTTGCTTTACAATTAAGTGACTGTGATTTGAGATCAAATACTTAATTTCTCTTAATTTTCTAATATAAAAAAAAAAGACGTAAGGTGCTTGCCTTGCATGTGGCTGACTGTGGGCAACACAATACCCCAAGAAGAGCACTGAGAGGTGTGGCCCTCCCCCAATCCCCCAAACAAAGAGGTACGCCACATAGGGAGCTGGGTCTCAACCCAGGTCTGCCACATGCCAAACAAGCAGCTTACCCACAGTACTATCTCTCCAGCCCCTCTTCTAATTTGTATAAAGTTAGAATTTGTAGCAATACTGTGCTAGATCCTTTGATGTGGAGTTGCTTATATTTATAACATAACTACTTTTGGGGAGGGGTGGGAGTGGGGAATTAAGCCCCACCTGGCAGTACTCAGGACTTACTTCTAAGTTTGCACTCAGAGATCACTTCATCAGGTATAATCACATATGGGATCATATATGGTGCCAGGAATGGAGTCCAGGTCAGCCGTGTGCAAAGCAAGCAGTATATCCACTATCCTATCTCTCCAGCCCCGTATCATTGCTTTTTACAGATACCCTAATTGTAGATAACAATGTCCCCAAAGATGAAATGCATTAAAATTATTGGAGATAAATATTGGAGTTAAAATATTGGAGATAAAATTAAAATTGATTAATCTCTTAACCCACTACAATACAAGAGTGACAGTATGAGGGGCAGGGTGTTGTTTTGCATGTGGCCAAGCCAGGTTAGATTCCCAGCATTCCATATGGTCCCCTGAGCACCGCCAAGTTATTCCAGAGTAGAGTCAGGAATAGCCCCTGAGTATCGCTGGGTGTGGCCCCAAAACAAAAACAGCTGGAGGTTTTAAGTATTTTCAGCAACTCATGTATAGCAAAACACAGGGGAGGTATTCAAATACATGAATACCTATACTGACACTGTTTCCTGTGTTTTCAACATAAAACAAATATTACTGTCTGGGGATTTAAAAAAAATCCTATTTGAAAAAAATCAACATTTGTTATCTGCCAACTGACTTATTCTAAATTGGTCAAAAACAAAAACAACTTTAAGCCCTAAGTCTGAATTAACTTAGATAATAATGATAGCAGGACTGGAGTGATAGCACAGTGGGTAGGCCATTTACCTTGCCCACACCCAGCCTGGCTGAGCCGGGTTTGATTCCTCCGCCCCCTCTCGGAGAGCCCAGCAAGCTACCAAGAGTATCTCGCCTACACGGCAGAGCCTGGCAAGCTACCCATGACATATTCGATATGCCAAACACAGTAACAACAAGTCTCACAATGGAGACGTTACTGGGCCCGCTTGAGCAAATCGATGAACGATGGAAGGACAGTGCTACAGTGCTATATACACTACATATTTGTATAATGGACTTCTATTAGTCAAAAAAATTAAATGATTATTTAGTATTTGTGCACAGGAAATCATTATTAAGTAACTGCAGAATCTTAATAAAAACTTTTTGAAAGTTAAATGATTAAAAGAATACATATTTACCTGTTGTGACCATTTTACTGCTTTCTCTGTTAGATATTTGTATACAACTGGTCTTCCAACTAAATAGGAAAGCATGTAGCAGAATGAGGCACCAAGTCCAGAACACTAGAAAATAGTAAGAAGTGATAAACATTTTGTACTATTCGATTTTATTTACATGGTTATATTTACCTAAAGAAACACTACCTCTTTTTTGGGGTGGGGAGATACACCTCAGGACGCTGCTTGTGTTGGAAACAAGGCCCCTTTTTAATATACTACTCAGATCAAGGGGCTGGAATGATAGCACAGCGGGTAGGGCATTTGCCTTGCACGTGGCCAACCTGGGTTCGATTTTCAGCATCCAATATGGTTCCCTGAGCACTGCCAGGAGTAACTCCTGAGTGCAGCGCCAGGAATAACCCCTGTGCATCGCTGGGTGTGACCCAAAAAGCAATAAATAAATAAATAAATAAATAAAGATAATATATTACTCAGATCAAAAAAGAAATAAAATGACATTAGCTACAACAAACTGAGACTTGTGATTATATTTAGGGACTATAGGCAAATAGTTAATACAAGCCTATAGAGTCTAAGAATGAAACTTTAAGTGCTAGTCCCTAACCCCGACCCACACACCAACCCCCCCCCCCCAATTACTATGGTTGAAAACAACACCCTCAGCCAGTGGTCACTCATTGTGCCACCAACACTCCTGGACTATCTGAATTACAGAAAGGATGGAGGGGATGAAGTGAGAGTACAGTAGGTAAGGCACTTGCCTTGCATGCGGCCAACCTGGGTTCCATCCCTGCCAGGAGTGATACCCGTGTGCAGAGCTAGAAGTAACCCCTAAGTACAGTCAGCTATGGCCCCCAAACCCCACCCAGCCAAAAAAAAAAAAAGGTTGGAGAAGTTAAACAGAGCCTATAAATGCAATTAAGTCACTAATAACCACATTATAGGAAAATAACTTTGATATCTTATGGAGGAACCTAATAGAGACTACTTTAACATTAAATGCCTCTTAAAACTAATGAGACTAAACTTATATAGAAGAGTGGGACCTAGATGTCATTATTATACTCTCATCATTATATTTAAGACATTTTTTCTAGTATCCCATTTCATTTTATATACTTACCAAACAAACGAGAAATAAGGCTAGTGGAAAGGGATAAAGAAATCCCGAGAGAATACTGAGAAATATAGAGCCTGGAATAGCAAATGTTTGCAAGCTGTTAACTTCTAAGTTAAGGATTAAAACATAAGAAATGGAAATGTTAAAATACAAATCCAATGTTTCAGAAAATAACAACACAGAAATCATTAATAATATTACATGCTTATTTCAATATTTAAAAAATTATTATCAAAACTTTTTTATTCCTCTTTTAACTCCAAATTGATTTATAATCAAAATCATTAATGAACAATAAAAAATATATAGACTAGAGCACAGTACAGGGATTAAGGCACTTGTTTTACATGCAACTGACTCTAGTTCAGTCCCTTGGTACCACATAAGGTCTGCATAGCACCACCAAGAGTGACCACTAAGCACAGAGCAACCAGTTAAGCCCTGACCACTGCTGGGTGTAGCCCAACACCGCCCATTCAAACATAAATGTATATTACTAGTAAAACTTACCAAAAGAAAAATCAAGACAGTTATGGAGATGCACAGTAAAGAATGGTGCTCCAGAAACCATGAGGTGGTGCTAATGGTGCTCCAGGGACCATGCAGTGCCAGGTATTGAACCCTGGCCTCATACTTGCAAAGTACACCCTCAAGCTCATGGAGCTATCTTATGGAACTCAAAAAAAAATTTTGTTGTTTTTTTGAGCCACACTCAGAAGCACTCAGGGCTGACTCCTGGTTCTGCACTAAGAAATCACATATGGCAGTCTTGAAAGATCATATGTGCTGGAAACTGAACCTGACTTGGCTATATGAATGACAGGTATCAAATCTGAGTAGGCTACAAGCAAGGCAAGCACCTTACCTGTTATACTGTCACTCCAGGCTTTCACACATTTTTATTTGTGGGATGAGACCAACAGCACAGTGGGTAGGGCATTTCCCTTGCATGCAGCTGACCTGATTCAATCCCTGGCACCCACCCCCCTGAGCCTACCAGGAGCGATCTGAGTCAGGAGAAAATCCTGAGTACCACCAGATGTGCCCCCCCAAAAAATCTCTCCTTTTATCTCTTCCTTTGTTTGGAGTTCATCTTCAATTTCCTGGGCTCCATCTTCTATAAAACCATTCAGAGGTCAGAGCAATGGTAAAACAGGTAAGGGGCTTGCTCTGCATGCATCTGACTGGGTTTAGCCCCAGCATCCCATACAGTCAGTCCCCCAGGTACCACTTGAAGTAATTCTTGAGTTCAGACCTAGGAGTTACCCGAGTACTGCCAAGTATGGCCCTCAAGCCAAAAAATAAATGAAAATCATTTAAATGTTTATAAAGTTAAGAAAACTTATGCTCTTCTGACAAAAGTAGCCTACCCAATTACTCCCTGAGTAACTTTTCTCCACCTTGGTGTGTTTCGGGCTACACCCATCAGTGCACTAGGCTGACTCCTGACTGCACTCAGGGATAACTTCTAGAGATGCTGGGAGGCCATATGGGATGCTGGGGATTGAACCTGCGCTGGCTGCATGCCAAGGCAAGCATGCTTCCCAATGTACCTCACTCCAATCTTGAGTCCAAAAAACATTCATTACTGAACAAAGGGCCTCATACATATAAGGCAAATGCTCTACTGCTGAACTATACTACCAGTCTGCCTCCCTCCAAAAAGAATGTTAGGGTTAAAAGATAATTATATTTCAAAATTAAAAAAATGACCAAAAAGTATATTTTATTTATATTATTTTTATTTTGGGGGGCTTTGTTTTTTTAAAAAAAATTGTATTTCAAAATAAAAAAATAGTCAAAAAGTGTATTTTATTTACATTACTATTATTCTAGGGGTTTGTCTTGTTTTACAGCCACACTCAGCTGTGCTCAGGGTTTACTTCTGGCTCTGTACTCAAAGAGCACTCCTGGTAGGGGGTGGGGCACCAAATGTGGTGCCAGAGATCAAAACTAGGACAGCTGCATGCAAAGCAAGTACTAAACTTGCTATACTACTCTTCATTCCTATTACCATTACTATTATTTTGATAAAGCAATATCCAGTGGTGCTGGGGGGCTACTCTCAGCTCTGGGGGGAGGGGTAGCAGGAGATAGGGTGCTGGAAGTGGGGTACTGAATCCAAGACCAAACATTACTATCTAAATCCAAGACCAGGAGCTCAGATAGAGAAAGGAGCACTAAATAAAGGGTGTTGGGAGGATGCTCCCAGGATGGGAGATGCAAGCTGTAAGTAGACCATAGACCAAACACGATTGCCACTCAATGCCTCTTTTGCAAACCACAACACCCAAAAGGAGAGAGAGAACAAAAGGGAATACCCTGCCACAGAGGCAGGGTCGGATGGGGGGATGGGGGTGGGAGGGATAATGGGACTTGTGGTGGTGGATAATGGGCACTGGTGGAGGGATCGGTGTTTGATCATTGTACAATTGAAACCCAAGCACAAAAATTTGTAAATCTACAACTGTACCTCATGGTGTTTCACTAACAAAAATTAAAAAAAAAAAAAGGTGTCTTATATGCAACACAGGACACAGGACTCCTGAATGCAAAGCAGCACTTCAGTACTTCAAGCCATCTCCCCAGCGTAATTCTAATTTAAAAGGAATTTTATATACAAGAATTTGAAGTTCGGTATTAACAATGGAGATACAGTACTGCTGTTAAACACATTTAAAGACAGCATGGAAGGTCTGGAGTGATAGTACAGCAGGTAGGGCATTTGTCTTGTGCGCAGTTGACTTGAGTTCAATTCCCAGCATCGCATATGGTCCCCTGAGCACCACCAGGAGTAATTCCTGAGTGCAGAGCCAGGAGCAACCCCCCCACAAAAAAAAGCAGGGGAACTGGCTGAGGAAATGCCTCAAAGGCCTATACTTTGCATTCAGAAGCCCCAGTTTTCATCCCCAGTACAGCATGGTCCCCCAAGCATGGAGCTAGAAGTAAGCCCCAGCTTTTTGGGTGTGAGCTCAAAAACAAAACATTACTATTTAAATCCAGACCAAAGGGTGGTCAGGATGTTGTCTTCATGCTCAAACTGGGAATGAAGCTAGAACTGTATACTTGCCATCCTGGGGACAGAGTACAGTGGGTAAGGGGCTTGCTTTGCATGCAGCAGAGCAGGGTTTGATCCCCAGAATCCCATATGGTCCCCCAAATACCAGCCAGAGTAATTACTGAGCTAAAAGCCAGGAGTAACCACTGAGCAGCACTGTGTAGCCCAGAGACAAAAAAAAAAAAAAAAAAAAAACCAAACAAACAAAAACTACATAGTTGCTCTGAAGGCTAGCTGCCAGAATTCAGGGGACCATATATGGTGCAAGGAAAGTGCCTGAATCCCTGTATTATCTCCATGGTTCCAGGTTAAGAATTTGTTTTAGGGGCCAGAATGACAGCACAGTAGGTAGGGTGTTTGCCCTGTACACACACAACTGACCCAGGTTCAATCTGCACCATCCCACATGGTCTACTCATGCACTGCCAGGAGTAATTACTCTGTGCAGAGCCAAGAGTAACCCCTGAGCATTCTCGAGTGTGATACCCCTACCCCACCAAAAATGTTTTGTTTTTGTAAGCTACCCGTGACGTATTCAATATGCCAAACACAGTAACAACAAGTCTCACAATGGAGACATTACTGGGCCCGCTCAAGCAAATCGATGAACAACGGGAGGACAGTGACAGTGACAGATTTTGGATCATAACTGGCAATGTCAGGGATCACTCCTGGTGGACTCCAGAGACAGTATGTGGTGCTGGGCCTGGAAGCCTGTGTCAGACACAAGCAAGACAAGTGCCCTACCCACTGTACTATTATTCCAGGCCCTAAATTAAGAATTTTAGAGGCTAGAGCAATAGTATAGGAAATTTGGGAGACCATGCAAGATCTGGCACCCTACCTGTTGCACTGTCTCTGCCCCTTCCTTGTCCTTTAAATTCTTATGCTGGGAATGATATATAGGACTTCACACATTCAGGTCGACTCCTCTGCCACTAAACTATAATCCCAGTCTTTACATACTCTAACCCCAACACCACCAAAACAACAACAAATCAAGAACAAAAACACCTACTCCATGGTTCAGGTAGGTAGCTTAGTGGTAGAATACTAGTGTACGATGGGTGAGACCCTGCTGTTTAACACCTAACACACACACGCACACACACACACACACACACACATGCACACACACACACACACACACACACTCTACAGAGCTTTCAGTACAACCCTTACACAACACACATTCACCTTTCAGTATTGAAAAATTCAGAAAAGGTTGGATTAGAGGAGATTAAAAAGTAAAATAATAAAATCAGACAGGTCAGAGATGTCAAAAGGGTCAGCACACATGCTTTGCATGTAGCAGACCTGAATTTAATTCCCTAGTACTGAATGGGTATCCCCTGACAGGGAGCAACCCCAAGCACCACTGAGTGTGACCTCAAACCATGCCTCCACCAAATAAAATCCACAAGTTAGAAAATTAATCACTATAGCATTAACAGTTTAATATATAAATAGTTCTTTTTTGATAATTAAAATGCAGCATTTATTTCTATAAAATGAAGAAATTAAAGAACTAATTAAAAAGTGCATATCCTTCAAAAGATTATCCAATTGGAATTTTTTACAAAGAAAACTATGAAATGAAATACAAGGTGAACAAAAAGGTTTATAACACAACATCCAGAAAAGCAAAAGATTAGATAAATATAAACCTTATATCTATGAATCCAAGGGAATATTTTTTAAATTATGGTACATTAATCCAAAATAATCATTTAAATTAAATTTAAAAATTCATCAACTTATACTCATAAAATAATGATATCGAGTAACAGAGAAAAGGAAAATGTGTGTATAGAATAAGCAAAATATAGGATAAAGATTTATTCAGGAACAACTAAATTGAAGATATCAGATTAAGGTAAGAAGTTTTTTTCATTTAAAATTTTAATCTTTAGTTAACATTATTATGCTGCAGACCTTTTAAAGCTTTTTTTTTGAGGAAAAAAAAAACCCTGGAAATATCTTTTAGTTAAAAGGATACAAAATATATGTAGCAAAATAAGCTACAAGTACTTGTACATAAAAGGTGTCCTTATATTTGGATAAAACTTTTCCTAGAGCCTTGGCATCATCCATATCTCTGGGAACCTTCATATTCACTCTTTCTTCTCTAAAGAAATAAAATTAAAGTGAAAAATTTTAAAGCAGAAACTTTCCAAGATATTATCAAATTCAAATTTAAAACATGAAGTTTTATCCAAAATTATTTCACAGCTTGATCTGTATGTCGCATGTTCAACATAAATCCACAAATTTCATTAAGTTCGTAAATTATTTTCTTAACACTTTAATATAATCTTATGAAACCCGTAATACATATGTGAAATGTGCAGGATGAACCCAGTTAAAGTTTAATAGCATCTGCTCCAGGGTTGGAGAGATAGCTCAATGCTCTGAAAGCAGGAGGAGATAGAGATTTGATCTTTGGCACCACGTGGTTCCCTGAGTACCACCTGGAGCAACCCCAAACACAGAGGCAAGAGTAGTCCTGAAAACTACCCATTGTGGCCCAAGACAAAAGCATCTGTTCCGGCACTGGTCTAAATTTTGAATTAAGAATCGAACCAACGGGCCAAAAAGATAGCATGGAGGCTGGATACCCATTTTGCATGCAAGATGCCCAGGTTTGATTCTCAGCACTATATGCTCTCCTGAAAACTGTTTCCAAGCACCAACCTGGGAGCAGGCCCTGAGCACCATTAGATGTAGGCCAAAACCACCCCCTCACACACATCAAAAACCAGTTGAATCACTGAGCTAGGGAGATGACTCAACATGCTTTGCATATGGAAGCCCCACGTTTGATGTTTAGTATCATGTACTCCCCTATGCATTGTCAGGTGTGGTAACTGAACACAGCTGGGTATGCCCTCATCACCTGACTCCCTGGTCAAAATTGGAATCACTTATGTTAGCATATTAAAAATATATTTAACATCATTTTTGATAATACTCCTGATAAGTCAAAGAAGTCAAAGATGATTACTAATTACAACTAAAATTAAGTAAAAAATTTAATGAATTTCAATTCATTTTTCATTCCTAGAATACCCTACTCAAATTTCAGATAAAAATTTAAACATTTTATTCTCAATATTAATTTTACTTTGTTTAGTGTATCGTTTGAATGGTTTCTTGCCTGCAAATTTCTTGCTTAATTCAAAATGATTATTTAAATAAAATTAAAACAATTACCTTTGCATTTAATAAATACTAGACCCATCTGCTTATTTGATAAACCTTAATTGACCTCATGGAATAATGATAAAGTGATAAATTCTTAAGTTCTACCAAATTAACTGGTAAATGAAAATGGGTTTCTTATTATGAATTATGAAAGAAAAACTTTAGAGTGGTAAGTCTGCACAGAGAAAGAAATAGGCAAATATTTAATATTTAATATAAATATTAAAGATGTATAATAGCACATTATTATACACGAGTAAAATTATTCTTAGAGCACAGTGGAAGCAATTTCCTTTCACTTGAGTCTTTATTTTCGATTCCCTGATCAAATCTAGAAAGGATCTAAAATTTCATCATATTAATGTCAACAAAGCAATAACATACTATTCACCAAAAGTATGCACATCAATGTGAAATATAAAAGGATCAAAATAAAAATAAGCTTACCCATGAAATTTCAAGTATAAGGAACTATTAAAGAAAGGAATATAAAGAAAAAAGGTACACCTGACACCTTGAAATCACATTTCAGTTATTCATTCACACCTGGCTGGTCCTAGTTCAAAGTCGAAACTATGTTTTAGTAGGCCCTTATGTAATCTACCATTATACAAAATTGTTATTGTTCTGCTTCATAAAGCTGGAATATTTTGTTCTCGTAAAGCTACGTTTCAGAGAGGAAAAAAAATTTCCTGTTTGAAGATCTGTTTAAGATCTACAATCTTCACTCTAAAATTTAAAAGAAAGAAGCTCTAAAGAAAGTTTTTTTTTTTATTTTGTTTTGTTTTTAGCTTTTTGGGTCACACCCGGAGGTGCTCAGGGGTTACTCCTGGCTCTGCACTCAGGAATCACTCCTGGCGATGCTCAGGGGACCATATGGGATGCTGGGAATCGAACCCAGGTTGGCCGCATGTAAGACAAACACACCACCCACTGTGCTATTGAGCAGCTCCCTAAAGAAAGTTTTTAAAGTTAAAAGTAGTTAACAATGAGCTATATTCCACAGCCCAATCTATGCTTCTAAAACTTTAATCTTTTACGATTCAGGTTTATTTGCAAAAAATTGATATTTGATTGAGACACTGTCCCAGATTCTGTTAGAATACTAATAAAATATACTTTATTCCAGGTTAAATGAAAAAACTAGATACTAAAACACATTTTATTTTATTCTATTTTATTATTTATTTTTTGCTTTTTGGGTCACACCTGTATGACAACAATAACTGGAAATGATCACTCTCGACAAGAACTAGAAGATAATCTTTCAGTGACTGTACTGCAAACCATAACATCCAAATGAGAGAGAAAGAGGGGGCTGGAGCGATAGCACAGCGGGTAGGGCGTTTGCCTTGCACGCAGCCAACCCAGGTTCGAATCCCAGCATCCCATATGGTCCCCTGAGCACCGCCAGGAGAAAAAGGATGGAATATGGGGGGATGGGGGGAGCAAAGAACATCAGTGTTTTTCTAACTGTGGTTCAACATCTATTATGAACTGTATAATAAATTTACTTGGTCAGGGTCAGAGAGATAGGAAAGGGCAGTGAGCACGACCCAGCATCATATATGGTTCCCAAGCCCTGCTTAGAAGCCGAGCAAGGAGTAAGTTCTAAGTACTTTGAGGTGTGGCCCCCAAAACAAAACAAATAATTTCACTTGTTGCTTCTAGCATTGGGCTGGAGCAATAGCACAGCAGTAGGGCGTTTGCCTTGCATGCGGCCGGACCGGCCGAACCGGGTTCGATTCCACCGTCCCTCTTGGAGAGCCTGGCAAGCTACCGAGAGTATCTAGCCTGCACGGCAAAAAGCCTGGCAAGCTACCCATGGCGTATTCGATATGCCAAACACAGTAACAACAAGTCTCAAAATAGAGACCTTACTGGGCCCGCTCAAGCAAATCAATGAACAATGGGAGGACAGTGCTCTAGCATTAAAAAGTAAAATGAGGGGCTGAAGCAATAGCACAGCAGGTAAGATGTTTGCCTTGCACGCAGCCGACCCAGATTCAATTCCCAGCATTCCATAGAGTTCCCCGAGCACTGCCAGGAGTAACTCCTGAGTGCATGAGTCAGGATTGACTCCTGTGCAACACTGGGTGTGAACCTCCCCCACAAAAAAAAGTAAAATGAGGGCAAGGAAAAAGGCTAAATAGGTTTTGCATGTGGAAAGCCCAGGTTAAGTCCCCAGCACAAACGGGACCACCCAATGCATTGCTAAGAGTGACCACCAGGACCTTCAGCATCACTGTTTACAACTCCAAAGCAAAATGAAATGGGGCCAAAGCTATAGTACAGTGGGGAGAGCGTTTACCTTGTACGTGGTCAACCTGGGTTTGATCACCAACGTCCCATATGGTCCCAACCCAAGCACCTCCAGGAGTAATTAATTACCTCACTGCAGACCGCTGAACATCACCAGGTATGACCCAAAAATCCAAATAATGGTAAAAGGTAAAAGGTAAAGGCCCTCCCGTTGATCGTCGATTTGCTCAAGCGGGCCCAGTAACGTCTCCATTGGAGACTTTGTTGTTACTGTGTTTTGGCATATCGAATACTCTCGGTAGCTTGCCGGGCTCTCCGAGAGGGGCAGAGGAATCGAACTCGGGTCGGCCATGTTGGCCGCTTGTAAGGCGAAGGCCCTACCGCTGTGCTATCGCTCCAGCCCCAATGGTAAAAAATATTAATAATAATAACAAAATTAGGGCTGGAGCAATAATACAGCGGATAGGGCGTTTGCCTTGCACATGGCCAACCCTGGTTCAATCCTAAGCATCCCATATGGTCCACTGAGCACCGTCAGGAGTAATTATTGAGTGTAAAGCAAGGAGTAACCTCTGTGCATTGCCGGGTATGACCCAAAAATAATAATAATACTAACAAAGTGGAACAACCAAAATAAACTGTAGATATGATGCCACTAGTTGAGTACATGCAGTGCATATGCAAAGCCCCAGTTCGATCCTGGCAATGAACAAACTCTCAACCCCTAGCACCATAGGGTACAGCCCTGGTGGTCTGTCCCAGTGTTCCAGGCCAGCACTCCTGGGAGCAGGCCAGCACACCAAAATAAATAAAATTACTTCAAAAGAAAATTAACAATCCAGTATGACAACAATAACTGGAAATGATCACTCTCGACAAGAACTAGAAGATAATCTTTCAGTAACTGTACTGCAAACCATAACATCCAAATGAGAGAGAAAGAGGGGGCTGGAGCGATAGCACAGCGGGTAGGGCGTTTGCCTTGCACGCAGCCAACCCAGGTTCGAATCCCAGCATCCCATATGGTCCCCTGAGCACCGCCAGGAGCGATTCCTGAGTGCAGAGCCAGGAGTAACCCCTGAGCATCGCCAGGAGTGACCCCCCCCCCCAAAAAAAGGAAACAAATGAGAGAGAAAGAGAAAGAGACAGAGACAGAGAGACAGAGAAAGAGGCAGAGACAGAGCCAGAGAGAGAGCACTGCTGTAGAGGCAGGCTGGGGTGGGTTATAGCTCCAAAATAAAATGAAACAAGTAAAATGAAGGACTGCAAACATGGAGAATGGAGGGAGAGATGGGAACACTGGTGCTGGGAAATGTACACTAGTGGATAGATCGATGTTGGAATATCGTATGACAAACCCAATCATGAACAGTTTTGTAAAGCTCCCTCTCTTTCAGTGACTCAATTAAAAAAAAAAAGAAAAATGAACAACATACTTTTAAGATACAAGAAACTTCTACGAATGCAAGTGATGAGGAAAAAGCGGACAGTTACATGTATGTAGGATTATGATATCAAAATGTATTTCGTGGCTTGCCCTTGAAGCCCGTGTTCCTTCTTGGACACAAATTCCTCTGTTTCTCTCGCCTCGCATCTAAGCAAATTTCTTTCAATAAAAATTATCTTGTGTCATCGAACAAAAATAGTAACTTTATTCCTTGATGTAGTTATATTTAAAAAATATATATATTAAAAAGTAGTTACAAATAGCAGTACTTCTACATTATTCAAAATTTTTTTTAAAAAAAGTAGAGGAGTAAATCTTACAGAGAAAATCAAGACATACATTTGAAAAGAAGCATTTAAATAAGTATCAATACAAATCTGTTATAAGCCCTAACAGCTGATATGCATACAATCACCATGACAGTTCTCTTACTTTAAATAAGTTTAACTTTTAATCAACTTTCATCTCTCTAAATGGATACACATTTTCAGTTTCTTTCAGCATACTTACTCACTAAGCTGTGGAAAATTTTTATATACCAAAAACATAAAAAAAGCTGCAGATAAGAAAATGGACACCAATATAAGAAGCGACATTCTTGCTGACCCAGCTTCTGCACAGGCTTTTTCTGAAAGAAACAACAACAACAAAAAAAAGTTGTTATATATAAAATAAAGACAGTATTCCAAGCCACCAATTTCCTTAAAGGTTTTTTTCCCAAGCCAGAAAGATAGTACAGAGAGTAGAGCATTTGCCTTGCATATCAGAGTTCCATCCCTGATATCTCATATGGTCCCCTGAGAACCATGGGGTATAATTCCTGTATCCTGAGGCAGGATAACCCTGGGTGTGACCCAAAAACCAAAACAATTGAAAATTTTTTTAAAAGTTTCTTCCCAAACCTCTGTCCACACGTTTGCTGAAAAATACTGAACCGTTGGGTTCTGTTTGTTTTGTTTTTGGGCCACACATGGCAATGATTGGGGTACCATATGGAATGCTGAAGATTAAACCCGTGTCAGCCAAATGCAAATGCCTACCCACTGTAATATCTCTCCAGCCGCTAAAACATTAAATGTGTGAGAGGGGAGAGCAGGGTTTGGGCCACACGTAATAGTGATCAGGGCTTATTCTTGGCTCTATGCCGAGAGGTCACTCCTGGTAATGCTGGAGACTGAACAAGGGTTAGCTGTATGCAAGGCAAGCACACTGTCTCTGAAACATTAAAAAAATTTTTTTTTGTTTTGGGCCACACCAAGCTGTGCTCAGATATCATTCCTGGTGTGGCTTGAGGGACCATATGTGATTCTGAGGATCGAATCCATGTTGGCCACATACAATGCTAGAGCCTTACCCACCATATTATTGCTTTGGTGTATTAAATGCTTTTGGTTTTGTTTTGGGGTCACACCCAGTAATGCTCAGTGATTACTCATGGCTCTGCTCTCAGACACTACTCTGGCAGTGCTCAGAGGACTATATGGGATGTTGGTGATCAAACCCGGGTTTCCCACATGCAAGGCAGTCATCTTACCCACTGAACTCTCTCTCTCTGGCCCCCAACATTAAATTTTAAGTAGCTACTGCACTTGATGTTTATTAATCGAACTATTATTTCTGGGGGGATGTATTTATCCTACAGTTTATTTATTTTTAGTTTGAGGTCCACATCTGGCTACTCCCAACTCAGTGTTCAGGGATGTGACCCCAGCAGTGTTTAGAGGATTATATGGTGCTGGGGATCAAATCTCTCCAGCATGCAAAGCATGCACTACAGACACTGAGCTATCTCTGTGGCCACATATATCTAGTTTAGAAACAGGAAGAAAAAAAAAAACCCTGGATTTTGTACCATTGATGTGTACATACGGCAAAGCTGTAGAAATGAAACGGTAAATGATTTAAATGTTATCACTGACTTTCAATTTACTTATCTATACTGTTTGCTGACATAGAAAATGCTGACATTCTTTCTATATGGCAATAAACACACCTCTTAAAAAAATGAGGTGACTTGGCAATTAGTAAAACTGTGATAAGAACTCAGAGATTCACTAAGGTAAATGGTGAATGTTACACCTTTTTTGTTGTTGAGCACAACTAGGAAATATTCAGGCGTAGGCTACTCCAGTTCTGTGCTTGCAGGTGACTCCTGAGGTATTCAGACGATGTGGTACCAAGGATTGAACTTGGGTCTCGAGCACAAAAAGTACACTCAACCCACTCAGCTATCTTGGCATGTATTAAAACCAGTTCAAGGTATATAGCTCAGGGATATATCACATATTGTGCATTTGTGAGACCTGAGTTTGATTTCCAGCACACAACTAACTAATCAACTAATCAACCAACCAATCAATCAAAAAAAAAATCAACCAAAAATACAGTTCAGCTTTGAAATAAAATCCTATTTAAAAAGAAACTGTGGGGGCCAAAACAATAGTACAGTAGGTAGGGCAACTTGTCTTGCACATAGCTGACCTGGGTTCAATCCCTGACACCATATATGGTCTCCTAAGGCTACCATGAGTGATTCCTGAGCACAGAGCCAGGAGATAGCCCTGAGCACTTCTGGGTGTGTGACTCCCCTTCGTCCCCCCCCCCACACACACACACATACACACAAAGAGAGAGAAACTGTTCTCAAGAGGTTAAAATACCTCTTGAAGAAAGAAAGAAACCTGAAATTAATTTCTCCTCACTTTTCACTTACTTCGCTGCTAGAATCAGCTACAGAATGCAAAAGGAGGGCCAGAGCAATAGTGCAGCGGCTAGGGCACTTGCTTTGCACACAGCTGACTAGGACTCGATCCCTGGTATCCCATGCACTACCCCCAAACACCTCCAGGAGCAATTCCTGAGTATAGGGCCAGGAGTAACTCCTGTAACTCCTGAGAGTAGAAAAAAAAAAAAAAGCAAAAGGTATAGTTTAAGATTATGTATATTGTTTAATGCTTTAAAAATCATTGACACTCTATTCCATATGCCAGACACAGTAACAACAAAGTTTCCAATGGAGACTTTACTGGGCCCGCTCGAGCAAATCGATGATCAACGGGAGGGAGAAAATAAAAAAAAAAAAATGTTAACAGTCCGAATGAAACCCAATCATAAACAACTTTGTAACTGTGTATCTCACCCTGATCTAATTAAGTAAGTAATAATAATAAAATCTTACAGAAATTTATGCACAATAATTATTAAGAATAAGTGGCTGATTCCTTTTCTTTTTTTTTTTTGCAACTGCGTATTAGGGACCTCTTTCGTATTAGGGACCTCTTTCGTGAAAGGATTGCACTCAAATGCAGAGTTGCTTAGAGCTATCTGCTGACCATCTCTATACAAAATATGCAAAATGCCTTGCTTCACTTCTGTTCCTAAGAAACTGATTCCATTTAGCTAGACTCTCATAGAAAATACAAAGGGCTTTTGAACTTATAAGAAAAACAATACTAGGCTGCAGTGATAAGAACTGAGACTCACAGAGCAGGAGGAAATTTAGCTTAAGACCAAAATATGAAAGTGTGCCAGGAATGTGGCTATGTAATGAAACTAAGTATTTTTGAAAACTTCAGTAAGGAAAATGGTCCTTTTAAAATTAGAGAAAACCATTTAATAGTAAATAATAAGAATATTATTATTTAAATATTTATTTATTTAAATATAAAATTAAGTTTCCCATTATGTTTTCCTGCCTATTATGAATTCACCAATCCTAAATTAATAGGTTACATTGGGGAAAGGTGTAAATGTTTATCTGGATTACAAAATACTAACTACCCTGAGTATTCCTTAAGTACACAGCTCTGATTGTTGACTTACAGCTGGATGATGAAACATATAGACACTTGAGCAAAATGAACCTCCAGGTTTAACTTGATTCTTATTTTCTTCAGTTTCTAAAATTAGGCAAACATTTTGCAAGCTGTGTTTTAAAGTAACATAAGAAAACAACTGCAAAAATGCATTAAGAAGTGACATTTAATTTTTTTTTTCTTTTTGGGTCACACCCAGCGATTCACAGGGCTTACTCCTGGCTCTGCACTCAGGAGTTACTCCTGGCGGTGCTCAGGGGACCATATGGGACTCTGGAAGTCGAACCCGGGTCGGCCGCGTGCAAGGCAAACTCCTTACCCGCTGTGCTATCTCTCCAGCCCCAAGAAGCGACATTTAATTTTGGAGTGCTCTCTCTTATCACAGAAACTGGTGACTCCAATGCATTGGCTACAACTTATTCCTTCTTGAGTATAATTCTAATAAATCTAGAGGGGACTGGAGTGATAGTGCATCAGGCAGGGAACTTGCCTTGCATATACAGTTAGCCCAGGTTAGATCCCTGGCACCCCGTGTGGTCCCCTGAGCCCTGCCAGGAGCGAGTCCTGAGAGCAGAGCAGACATAAGCCTTGAGCACCATTATGTGTGGCCCAAATAACAAAACCAAAGATAACCTAATAAATTCAGAGACAATGAATCCCAAACAAAGATTAAAGGTCAAGTTCCTGTTTTAATGATGAGTCTACAACTAAATGTGAGCTGCATTCTGGTTACATTACACACCTGATATTTAGCATTGGGAGCTGCCCACATCAGTTTGCTAATATCTGTCTGAAACCTGTTTCTCTAACCTCTTCTGGGCCAAAGAAAACAATCATCATGTACCCTTGACCTACAACAAATCCACATGCTCTTTTACAATTGGCCAGCAATAACGACGTCAGAGCACTTTTTAAAAGGCCCTACTCTCTCAAGACTAGAGAAATAGTATAGGAGGTAAGGCATTTGCTTTGCATGTGGCCGATCCTTGAGTTTGATTCCCCAGCATCCCATACGGTCCCTGGGTCATGGCCAGAAGTGATCTCTGAATGTAGAGCCAGGAGTAACCCTTAAGCACTGCTGGGTGTAGTGAAAGACAGACAGACAGACAGACAGAGAGAGAGAGAGAGAGAGAGAGAGAGAGAGAGAGAGAGAAACTTCAACCAAAGATAATGCTTTCTCATTTTTTTTAGTTTGGGACCTCCCAGGCAGTGCTCAGAGAGTCTGGGGACTACTCACCCCCATGCTGGGGACCATCAGAGACACACAGGGATCAAAATTGGGATCTAGCACATGTAAGACATGTACTCCAGTTCTTTGAGGTATCTCCCTGGGTCCTGCTTCCACATCTGAGTGGACCCCTCATTGTCTATCTCAAGATTTGCTCAAGATGGACCAGAAAGAAATTGCAGGGTGATCCCTGAGCACAAAGCTGGGAGTAAGCCTTGAGCACCACTGGGTATGGCCTCAAAACAAAGAAAAAGAAAAAAAAAACCACTCTTAAACTTATCTTTCCTTACAACTTTCCTCTTTTTTTTTTGGTTTGGTTTTTTTGGGGAGGGGGTCATACCCGGCGATGCCCACGGGCTACTCCTGGCTCTTGCACTCAGGAATTACTCCTGGAGGTGCTTGGGGGACAATATGGGATGCTGGGAATCGAACCCGGGCCAACCACGTGCAAGGCAAACGCCCTACCTACAGTGCTACTGCTTCAGCCCCACAACTTTCCTCTTCTATTTATATTAAACACCAACACAGTTCCTTATAGGTTTGTTCTCAAAACAATTTTTATATACCCTGAATCTTCAATTCCTC